AGGGTGTGGACACCCCTCTGGGTCCAGCCAGGAGGTGGCAGGTCCAGGGGTCCCAGGGTGTGGTCAGCGAGGCACTCCCCAGGGCTGGTCCCCAGGCGGGGTGAGGTGCTCGGGTCCCCCTCCCCCCCGGCCTGCGCATGAGAGGGCATGAGCTCACACGCCCGGCGTCTGCAGCGGGTGCTGTGACCTGGAGGCGCCCGAGCCAGGGGGACTCGGGTCTGACAGGACTTGAGCGGAGGCCTGGGCCCTGCTGTGCACGCCCTGGAGCTGTCCAGAGTGAGGCAGGAGGCCGGTCTGCGTCAGCCTCAGCCGGAGTCCATGAGAGCCTGCGGAGGAGCCTGTGCTGGGACCCAGAAGAAGGTGCCACCCGCCAGTGGTGTCCCTTCAGGGCACAGACCCAGGCCGGAAGCCTGAGGGCGGGGGTGTGGCCCTGTTCTGCATATCCCATGGATGGGCGATGCCAGCCCCAGTAACGTCTCGCCTGGCTGTCGAGGGCGCAGCGGTCATCCCCACATGCCAGCCCGCCCCTGCCGGGATGACGTCCAGGGTCAGATCGCAGGAGCGCCGAAGGCTGGTGCAGGAGCGCGCGCCAGCGTCCCGGCTCCTGCCCGCCCGGCTCCCCGGGGCGGCGCCCTCTGTGCCCGGCTCGGCAGCGAGCACCCCGGTGTGAGGCGTGTGTCCCAGCCGGACTGACGAGTGCGGGGCAGGCTCCATGCAGGAGGTCCCACGGCACGGCCGTGCGGTGGCTCCCGCGGTGACTGCCTGCTGGCGACTCGGGCGTGGACAGGTGCCGCCCCGTGAACCTGAGCTCGGCAGATGGCAGACCAGAGACTGAATCGGCGAATAATTTCGTCAAGCATGTCAGTAATGTTTCCTCAATGTTTAGACTTTATTTTTAAACACGAGTCTCATCTGACACCGTCACGATAATAAAAATCTCCCCTTGGGCCCTGCGGCTAGTTGCCCAGCGCCAGAGGAAACTGTGGCTCTGGCTGCGGAAGGCTCCCGAGGTGCCCGCCTGGGCCTGGCCAGGGGCCTCCTCTCTTGCTGGGCCTCGAGAGCCTACGGAGCGATGCACAGTTCTGAAAGTGCAGCCTGGGAGGACAGATGGGCGCTTCCTTTGAGGGGCTGGGTCTCAGAGCAGGGTGCGCCCCGGCGGTGGCTTCCCAGCTCGGCAACATCTGCCTCCTGGGCCCTTGCTGCACTCGGGACTGGACCCCCCCACTGGCCACATGGGCGCCCAGCGCTGCCTCTCGGGGGATTAGCTGGGCTCTGAGGCCTGCAGCCGGCTCTTCAGCACCACGGAGAGCTCCGGGAGGTGGCCCAGGCTGACGGGCGTGCCCACGTCTGGCTCCAGGCGTCCTGTGGGGAGCTGATGGCATGCGATGCTGACAGTGACATGTGGGAGAGCAAGGTGCCAGGCCCGATGGCCTCGGTCCCTCCGCTCCTGGCTGGGTGAGCTTTCTTATTGATCCCTGGGACGGTGGCATTGACATGGAGAAGAGCTGTCCCCAGCCCCTTGGGCCCACGGAAACAGTGAGTCTTCAGCCGAGAAGATACACATTCAGCGCTCACCAGGGTCCTGCGCCCGAGGGGCGCTCTGAGGACGTTCTTTCTGGCAGGACTAATGGCAGGATCACTGTCGCCTGTGTCACCACCGTCAGCCCTCATGCCCAAATGCCAGGTCTGAGCCTGCAAGAGCCAGCTGCCGGCCACACCCCCAGCGTCCACCACAGTCCCTGCTGGCGCTGAGTCGGTGGCTGTGGGCTGAACGGGAGGGGGTGTACCGGCAGGTACGTGGCTTTATTAGCCAGCTGTAGAACTTTATGGCTCACGTCCGAAAGGAAATGAATACAGCGAATAGAGCGATGGGCCGCGGGACGGTTTCCAAAGCCCGGGGCCGCTGGCAGCTTCGCGGCACTCACACGCTCACGTGCTCCTCTCACTAATCCTCTCAGCCCCCCGCCCCCCGTGAGACCAGGCACTTCTGTCTGCGAGCACCGGGGTGCCAGCTGCCTCCCAAGCTTGGCGTGAGTTTTTTTAATTAGAGGGAATAATATGCCATAGTCTGAAGTCTTAATTTCCTAAAGGGAAAATGACCCCTGGGGAGAACCCGAGAGCAGGAAGCACAGAAACACACGCGGCCAGCCCAGATGTGCTGCTGCTCGGTCTGGAGCGCGGCTCTGACCGTGTCCAGCGTGCCTGGCCCTGGTGGGGACACACAGGGTCC